GGCGGGTGCGGAGTTCCGGGCGCCTGAGCGCGGACGGGGATGTGGGCCGCGCGGGGGGAGAGCCGCAGCAGCTGCGGGTCCCCTGCCGACTGGCCACACCGCGCTGCAGGAGTCCCGTGGTCCGGGTCGCCCTGCCCCTCCGCCTGGTCTCTACTCTGACCGTGTCTGCTTTCTCTGTTTTCCAGTCTTTAGAAAAGTGTGGATGAAAGTGGACGCAGCTCTGCTGGCCGCCTCCCAGAGGCGACCTTATCCGAGCGCGAGGGGAGTGTTCCAGCCTTCTGCGGCGCTGGGAGCTCTTCAAGGACAGCACCACATCTGGTTCAGCCTGGTGCCCCGTGCTTAGCCAATCAATAGGGCCGGAATTAAATTCCTGACCCGACCCAGGGAAGGAGCTGCAGCTCCTCCTCCCGCCTCCCTCCTCCCCCTCGCCTGGGACCACGCCAGTTATTTGGTTATTATTGGGATTCGGCGAGGCCCTCTTCCTACCGAAAGTCCTCGGTAACCAGAGGATACTTCAACCGTCCGGGCCTCCATCCTACTCAGCGCCTGCCGGGTTCTGCAGGACAAGCCTCTGGGAGGTGCGCTCCGCCTGCGGAGCTTCTGCAGCCTCTGCGCCCCGAGCTTCGCTGAGGAGGCGCCTCCACACCGACTCCGTCCAGGATTAAGTCCGCTTAGAATGTTCAAGAAGTTGACTGGGAGGAGGCTTTAGAATTTCCCGTTCAGTTGTTCTGACAATGCAGCCAGAGTGAACCGAGGAAAACCCAGGTAACGTTTTACTTTTTGCGTTTCATTACGGGTGGGGGGGCGGGGAGAACACACCCCCCAGGGAAACGCAAACAAAGTCTAAAGTTTGCTGTTAGGACAGAGGTTTCAATTAGGAGCCGAATCCTTTACTCAAAAACCTGATTTTGCTTAACTTTTGTGAATCATCTTATTGGAATCTTTTTCACTCTTATTAATGAAATATTTGATTTTACTTCAGAGAGAATTGGTCTTAGAAATGCAGGAATATATTTGGTAAGTCTTTATTGAAGATTTTTGCTGCTGTTGTTCAAGATGCATTGTTTTACTTTTTACTAATATTCTTCAGGCTCCAGAAGCACAGTTAAACTGTACTTGTGGAAGAAACTGAAAGATGAGGTCTGTTTGCTTATTTTAGCAGGGATTGAGTTGGAAAACAAGTTTTAAGCACGGTGGAGATAGTTCTGATCAGTCAGCCCCTCTCCTCTGTCCTCTTTTCCACCCTGGGCTGCTCTTTGGCCCTGGAAGGCTCCTGAGATTCCATCCACTGGCTGGCTTGGACCCTGCTCCCCCACCATCCCCAGGATCCCAGACTTCCCACCAACCGAGATGCTGTAAACACAGCCACTTCCCACACACCAACCCTCCCTTCAGAGAGGGGGAGTAAAGAGAAGAAAGGGGACAAAAGAGAAGATTGTGGAAACTAATCTCCAGAGAGAAGCAGGGCCTTGGGCAGGGCCTGTATGGAAGAGGAACAAAAGATTCCCCAAGGCCTGCTTCCACTAACAGATTGTGAGATCAATACGTAAAAATGGAGTCACTATAGAAAACCCCCTATCTGGAGTTCATCATTTAAGTGTAAAAACATATCCTTCTTAGAAAATAAAATGGCGTTTGTATAATTGGAGCATGAATCTGAGGGCCTCAATCTGGGTTTTGCTTCCTATTTTATAGTCACAGTATGACTTAAATAGCTGTGTTCCTTATTTGCTACTGTTAACATTTCCCTTCCTCTAGTCTTCCATTTTCCATCACAGCTACCCACATACCGGTGTTTAGTATTTCATATTCATAGTTACTCAAACTATACACAGAAAAGGAGAAAATATGCGTATGCATGTGTCTCCAAAAGGTGGTCTCACTGGCCTGGGAAACAAACCTGCGCTCAGTCTGGCGGCAGACCTAAGCCATTGTGGGGCGCTAGATATGCTCTCCAAGTCCCCTGAGGGGCAGCTCTCTGCTGGCCGACAGGAGCACTCCCTGCAAACTGCAGAGCGGAGAAGACCTGAAGGTCTACCACAGGGGCAGCACAGCCTCGGGGTCCTAATTCCAGCCCTCTCAGTGTCACCTGTGTGAACCCACCCTCCAGAAGTGGGGGAGGCCAGGTGACCTCCCATCACGCCCTGGCTCTCTACTGCACCTCAGCCACTCCCACTCGGCTGCTCTGCCCACTTAGCCCTGTCCCTCCTCCCTCCCCACTTTCCTTCTCCACAGCTTTTGCCCTAAAGCCAATGAAATACGAAGCATGTCCATAAGATGTCTCCTTGAGGTTGGCCAAGTGTCGCGAGTGCTTTCCAGTCCTGCAGCCACACTGTAGCTGCGAGTGAGCTGCAGCCACGTAAGTGAAGAGCCAATAGAGGAAGAGCCACTCTCAGCTGCTTGCCCGTGACTGGGGTGACAGGCACTCAGAGTTCCACCTTCCCATCAAATGCAGGAGTCCTTTTCAGAGCTTCCTGAGAGTGGACCTCCACCCATTTCTTGAAAACGAATCATGAGGAATGCCTGTTGGAAGCTACATGCTTCAGACCTAGGAGTCCAGAAATGTCCTCTCCTCTGGGGCCAGTTGATCCCCAGTAGAAACCCCTTACCCAGATGCACTTCTGGTTCCCATCCCGCCCCCACCCCTGCGCGGAGGGAACGACCTGGTCCTGCAGAGCTGGGCTCACATGGGTTATAGGGACTGCTTCAGGGCCTCAGAGCATGCTGAAGACCCCTTTGCCAGCCCCTCCCTCTGGGAGGGGGTGCAGCTCTGGGGTCTGGAGGGGCGGATCCAGAACATCAACCACTCTCTGTCACTTGGGCCCCTGAGCACAGTTGCTCCCTGAGGTGTGAATGCAGATCCATCCTGACTCTCCCCGCTTTTGCTCAGTGTGTTTTTCTTTGGAATCTTAGGAAGATAATAAAGCTGAGACTGGTATAGGTTGAGGTAAAAGGAAGGAAGAGAGGCCCTTAACTGCCAGGCCTGGCTCCCAAGAAGCTCTACTAGGGCTTGGGCAAAGCCCAGCATGTACTTGCCTGGGACCTCATGGGACAGAGATGGGGACACAAAAGTGGGAGTTAGGGACTCCACTTCCTGGTCACCATCGGCCTCGGGAGCCTCTCAGGCAGGGGTGGGCTGTCTGCTCTGTGGAGATGACAGTGCTGCGTGGCAGAGCGTGAGGACTAGAACCTCTGTGCTGAGCACAGGACGCTGACCCAATGGCCACTCTTTGAGTATGCGAGGATGCTGCTTTTCCTTGACTAAACACGCCACCGTCCCTCTCCTGCTTCTGACTTTCACACTGTCTGCTGGACCCAGTGTGGAAATGGCCTCACTAAACCAGTTCATTGTACTAAAACCACGCTCGGGGCGACGCGAGTGGTGCAGGTTTCAGGGGGAAAGATTTCAGACCCCATACTGTGATGGCATGTGCTTCCTCACTGCCTGACCACTGGGGGAAAGATTTCAGACCCCATACTGTGATGGCATGTGCTTCCTCACTGCCTGACCACTGGGGGAAAGATTTCAGACCCCATACTGTGATGGCATGTGCTTCCTCACTGCCTGACCGGGGGAGCACAGAGCTGCCTGAACTCCTACCATGTCCTTTAAAACCCATTCAAACTTCGAGGTTTTCCTAATCAAATTCTGTTCTCAGATACGTGCATCACTTCACATCACGCACACATCGTTCCAGAATCCTCTTCACAACAACCCACAGCAGCTGGCCTGGAGTGGCCACTGACAGGCCATCAGTGGACACATGAAGTCTGATAGCTGAACATGGGTGAGGGTCCTCATGCTCCATCATGTGGAGTGCCGAGCCTAGAGCAGAAGTCATGGAGCAGCAGCCAGCAGGGTGGATGTGACATCCAGGTATGTTTTCCTTGGTACAAGAATCGTTTTAGAAATGGAATTTCATGTATTTTTTTAGAAATTAGTGGTTAATATAAAAATTAAAGTTTACTAGCTTCCCTTGCACATATGTTAGAATGTTTTTGACTGCAAGTAAAAGAACCCTCAACTCACACTGCCTTTACAAAGGCCTGGGTGCTCTCAGACTGTTCCTGAGATTCCTGGGATTGATTGCTTTAGGATCTAACTGTGCTATTGGGGTCTCAGACTCCTTTTTTCTCTCTGTTTGGCCATCTTAATGTTGGCTTCATCTGCAGAAAGCCAGCAAATGTCAAGACAGAGCCTCTGTTCAGAGAATAAAGAGATTTGTTCTTCCTGAGCCTCTCTTATAGAAGCAAAATATCTTTCCTGGAAGTTGCCCTGGTATGTGGGCTAGAACTGGGTCACATGTCTCTCCATGAAACATTCCCTGGCAGGGAAGAGACACTTCCACTGCTTGGCTTGGATTCTTTGCCTAGGGCACAATTGATGCTTGGAAATACCAGCCCATGTGTACCACACCGTAAAAAGCCAAACGTCTGGCCGTGTTGCAACCAAGTTCCACAGAGTGACAAATGTCTGTAGCTTCCCCATCTTTGGACCTAGAGAACAGTCTCTGCTCTCCATGGGCCCCACACCTGGCCTTTGTCAGAATTTGGTTTGCCACACCTTGTTCATACTTCTTCATCTGGGGAATTTCAGCTGTCTTGATGTTTGTGGGTACCTGAGCTATAGATTCCCTAATGGTGAATGGATACTGGTGATAGTTGTCTATAGTGATGTGACAAGCTGTCCCGAAACTTAGTGGCTTAAAACAAGAAGTCTTTATCAGGTAGAGGGTCTCTGGTCTAATTTCGAGGTCTTTGATCCACTTTGAGTTGAGTTTTGTGCATGGTGACAGACAGGGGTTTAGTTTCATTTTGCTTCATTTGAATTTCCAGTTTACCCAGTCCCATTTGTTGAAGAGGCTAACTTTTCTCCAATGTATGTTTTTGGCACCCTTGTCTAGTGAGATAACTGTGTTTATGTAGGTTTGTCTCTGTTTTTTCTATTCTGCACCATTGGTCTATATGTCTATTTTGGTATACACACACACACACACACACACACACACACACACATATACCTTTTATATTACTGTAGCTTTGTAGTATAGTTTTAGGTCTGGTATTGTGATACCTCCTATTTCACTCTTCTCACTAAGGATTGCTTTGGCTATTCTGGGTCTCTTTTTTTTTCCAAATTAATTTCATGATTACTTTTTCTATTTCTATAGGAATTCTAATTGGAATCATATCCAATCTGTATAGCACTTTTGGTAGTATGGCTATTTTGACAATATGAATTCTGCCTATCCAAAAGCATGAGAGATCTTTCTATCTTCTAAAGTCTTCTTCAATTTTTTTCTTCAGCGTTTTGTATTTTTCATTGTAGAGGTCTTTCACCTCTTTTGTTAAATTGATTCCCAAGTATTTTATTTTATTTTATTATTTTTGAGGCTATTATGAATGGGGTATTTTCCTAATTTATCACAGATATATAGAAATGCAGTTTAGATATTCCTTAGGAAACTTTGAATGGAACTATCATTTGACCCAGCTATTCCACTCCTCTGTCTATACCCAAAGGACTTAAAATCAGCATACTACAGGGATGAAGCCACATTAATGTTTATAGAAGCTCAATTCACAATAGCTAAACTGTGGAGCCAACCTAGGTGTCCCTCAGTAGATAAATGGATAAAGAAACTGTGGTATATACACAATGGAATATTACTCAGCAATAAAAGAGAATAAAATCATGGCATTTGCAGGTAAATGGATGGAGTTGGAGAATATCATGCTAAGCGAAGTAAGCCAATCCCCAAAAAACAGAGGCTGAATGTTCTCTCTGATGAGTGGATGCTGATACATAATGAGGTGGGGGGCATGGGGAAAATGGAGGAACTTTGATTGGGCAAAGGAGAGGAGGGGAGAGGGTGGGAGGGTCATGGGGGCAGGAAAGATGGTGGAATGAGATGGACATCATTACCTTAGGTACCTGTCTGACTGCACATGTGGTGCCACACTATATCGTGCACAACCAGAGAAATGAAAAGTTGTGCTCTGCTTGTGTACAATGAATCAAAGTGCATTCTGCTGTCATATATAGCTAATTTGAATAAATAAATAAGTGAATTTATTTTTTTAAGAAAGAAGCCTTTATTATTGCAGAGCTTCTGAGGCTTGGCACCTGGGAGCGGCTGTTCTTGTATTTTGGCTCCAGGCAGTGACATTCAGTCAGGATGTAAGTGAACCACAGTCACCTGAAGGCCTGCCTGGCTGGAGGACCTGCTCTGAGATTGTCCACCTGTGCTTCTCGGCCACTCACGGCAAGTAACAGCTTCCCTTGGTGAGGCTGGACCCAGAGAGCCATCAATGCAGATGCCACCAGGGCTGGAGGATGTCCCTCCAGAAATGGAACCGTGGCTTCTGCTTCGTCCTGTGGCTCAGAGTCTGTGCCCTGGCACGCGGCAGGAAGGGACCACACAAGGATGTGAATTCTAGAAGATGAAGGTCATGGGGCTGTCTTTTAGACTGGCTGCCACAGCTGTGTCCTACATAATTACTCTGAAAAGAGCATATAAAGATAAAGTTTACTAGCTTCCCTTGCACATCTGTGAGAACGCTTTTGGCTGCAAGTAAAATAACCCTCAACTCAAATTACCTTTAAATAAGGCTCTTTAGAGGACTCTGTGGTCTCAGACTTTCCAAGCACTAAGATTCCCAGGACTGATTGTGTTGGGGTTTCTCAGTGTGGCCATGAGTTTTCCAAATGCTGAATATTACTGTCAACTAAGTTGACAGTAAACAAGTTAGTTACAGGGCCAGCTCCAAGCAGAGGTGATTTCATCTCCCACCCCATTTTATGAGCAGACTCAGTCTTTGTTATTCAGTTGCAAGAAAACAAGATTCTACCAATGAAATCAGACATCCAGACTCCCAGCAGAAGCTCTAGTGTACCAGCTGCCTGATGAGACTGGTTGTGTCCACCAGTCTGCAGCTATCAACATCTTAACATGGATGGAAGACAGCAAGCGCTGGGCAGAGGGATCTGGCAGGGATTTGGGTAAAGGCAAGGAAAACACCGGTGAGGTCATCGGGATTTGAATATTGCTAGAGACAAAGAAGCGCATGGGAACCAGCTCTAGTCCAACTGCTAAGGTCGCCAAGCTTGTCCAGTTAAATCACCCTGGGCATTTGTGACACAGCAATCTCGGCCACACACATTCCTAAGGCTTGCCCATGCACCTTTTCCCAAACAAACAAACAAAAATCCCAGAGCGTCACAGGGCTTGTATTTACCACCGGACAGCCATGACAACTAGAAACAAAGAGCTGGCCCAGCTGAATTCAGCCGGAATTTCTTTTTTCCCCTCTTGCATGAAATAGTTACATTGTGAAGGACACACACAGCTACTGAAAGATTGATATAGCTTTCAGACAAAGACTCATTGGCAGTATTTATAGCTGATTGTGTAATTAAAAAAACCTCAGGGCATGACGCTATCCTTGACTGGTCTTATTTTTAGAAGGCTTAGAAATCTCTCCACAAGTAAAAAGCCTCGCCTGTGATCAAAGCTCTTTGTTATCAAGTGGTCATTAGAAAGATGTAGGTGGGCATGGCACCAGACGTCTGTCATGCTGGAGCCACAGCTGGGCTTGAGGAGGTGCTTGTGCCCACCCCTCAGGCACCTGTGGAGAACTTGTCTTCAGATAAATTTTAAGCTAAATATTTCAAGGACCCCACAACATCTTTGAGTGACAGTAGCCAGTGTACCCTAACTCGCTCAGCCAGGCATCTCATGAGCAAAACAGATGCCAGACCCAACAAACAGATCTCTTGAAATGGAAAGTTTATGGTATTTAAACACTGAAAATTGGTGCAAGAAAAAAGGGAAGACCTCCCCCTTCCACGGTTTCCACCTTTTGGGTCTCCTTCTTCCTCCGGGGAGAGGTCCTTTCTGCTGTCCTTTAATAAAGCTTCTACTTGCCAGTCTGAAAAAAAAGAAAGAAAGAAAGAAAGAAAAAGGAAAATTGGTGCAAAAGCTGAACAAGGGCATGAGTCTCCCACAGACAGGGGAGGCGGAGAGTTTCAGTTTCCCTGTGTTCAGAACTCTCTTTAGAAGTTTTGGTTTTGAACTTTGTAACTTTCTCAAGTGAGAATGCAGAGTAAACATACTTCCAACATCTACACGCAGCTGTGAATCTTGAAGGAGCGTTTGCTCAAGTGGCTGGTTGACTCTGTGTTTATTCTAGGCAAGTCCTTTAGGGCGCCCTTGCATCCCATGCACCTGGATCCTCCTGCTTTAGCAGAAGCTTCTTGGTAAGTATTTTTCATGATCTCTGTCCCCACCTCTTACCTGGTTCTCCTGACGTCAGAGGATGAGTTAGCTTTGCCAGATGGTTGTGGTAATAAATGCACAGGAAACAATAGAATGCAGGGCTTTTCTCCTGAAAATTGGGTAGCTTTTCCTGGGAAAAGTTAATAAATACAAAGAAAACTGACTTTGTTTAGAACGTTTTAATTTTCTACAAACACACGTTTCATTACATTTTTCACTTCTAACTCTCTGGGGACACAGATTGGCTTTAGCAGTTCTACAGGCATTGAACCTGGGGGACTGTGAACTCCATGATTCATAAAAGTGTCTAGGGGGAACTTGTCTTCAGATACAGTCTGGACCTTGAGGACTTGCTTGGAGGTGCTGGCAGGGCAGTGTAGCTACTCAAGTACCTTTGACAGAAGAATGGTCCTCCTCTGCAGGAGAAGGTCTCCTCTTCCACCATGTGCTCAGCAGTGAGGGGGGGACTCACATGGAGAGTGAGGGAGGAAGGGGACACCACCCAGCCAGCAGGTCAACCCGTGACAGATGTCACACCAGATTGTCCTCCAGATTGCCCGCTAGCAACAATTGGAAACCTCCTGAAGTGGCTGGGGAA